AATGAATAATTTTTGTCATTTTAATCCCATATCCCAGACATTTGGAGACAGAGTCCTGTATCCAGTCTCTTGGATAGTTCCCCTCTTTGTGGCCTTTTCTACAATTGGATCTGCCAATGGGACCTGTTTTACTGCAGGCAGGTAAGCTCTCATTTTAAGTATCTTTAAATGAAAATTTTTAAAGGATGGCAAAACTTATATATCAACATTTATGTATGTACACACATATAGACATTCTTCAGATCCAAAAGTACAAGATGTGATTACAAAGTACCTGCAATTCTACCTATATTGCTTAATTTTTGAAAAGAAAGAGTGGCTATACAGGTTTGAAAAATCAGAAAATAAGGTCTCTTACTCTTAATTCAAAGCAGGTACAGCACAAAAGGGTTTTTTTTCACCTCATCAAATTTAAAGCTAAGAATTAAACAATTAGAAATTACAAGGAACAACATGACTATACCAGTAATGATAAAGTTGAGAATTGGAAACTGAATAATTGGAAATTAGAAATTCCTATCAGTTGTTCAACGCTTTCATTTACTATTTAAAAATATTTTAAATTTCAAGCCCATCTGTATACAACAGGGCTGTAAATACCAACTTTTTGACATAAGATTGTCAACGTAGCTTTTTTATATGAATGAAATTAAAAAGGAAATATTTAATTAAAAGGGGCACAGCAGCTAACGTTTGTCTTGATTTTAAACAAAACGTGCAAACTAATGATTCTGAAATTAGTTTTCAATTCACTACTTCAATACTTGTTCAGAATTAGTTTCAAGTTCACTCCTTCAATATTGGTTATTTCCATTATTTCAGTCTACTACAACACTCCTTAAATCCCATTACACAAAGGGAACAGTGATGACATTGCAGTCAGATGCAGGCACACAACAGAACTATTCTGAAGATGAACAGTACTTTTTTGTAATGCCACTGCAAGTCCACGTGTCACACTAATGGCATTGCCTTGTTTTTGTTTTGTCAGACTTGTTTATGTTGCAGGTCGTGAAGGGCACATGCTGAAGGTGCTCTCTTACATCAGCGTTAAGCGCTTAACACCAGCGCCTGCTATCATATTTTATGTAAGTATATATTCTAATACAAAAAATAAAAAAATCAACATTTCTTCAGTAATACGTTTTCACATTGCTTACCAGCAGTCTTATGTCTTTGACTGTCTAGATGATAAAATGATATCTAGATGATAAAAGTGCTAAATACGTACTAGTAAAGAAGACTATGTAAAAAAGCCCGATTTTTCAATTTGGAGAGTTTCATTCCAGAACTGGATTTTAAAATAAAAATGTTAAAAATCCACAGTATGAAAACAAATTAAAAAATGAATTATTAATATTAGGCAAATCCTTTATTTCACAGGATGCTTGAAAGCAAGCTATCACTACCCTTATTTTCCTCCCTGTAAGAATGCATTTACATCCCATTAAAAAAGTCTATTCAGTAAACAGATTTTAAAATAAAACCAGAATATCTTGCTTTTTTGTTTTACCCATTTATCTTCAAGGTATAACAAGATAAATTCAAAATCCAATTGCTCTGTTGACTTCCAGTAACTTCAAGAACTTAAATATACATACAGTTATTTATTTTTAGTATCTTCACTTCCTCCAAGATAATCTGTTTTATTGTTATGTGACACATTCAGATTTCAAGTCTTTTGACTTAAAATGGAATTAAGATTGCATGCAAAAATAAACACATGTTGGCAGGATGTGAACATTACCTTTGAGGGTGCTGCAATACACTTACACCCAAATGTTTAAGCAAAAGCATTCACAATATAAACGTACACCCATACTGACACAAGTAAAATTCAGTCTTTGTTTGTAACAGACTATACTAATTCTTGTTTTCATTTTTAGGGGGCCATTGCTATTATTTACATTATCCCTGGTGACATTAACACACTCATAAATTATTTTAGTTTCGCAGTCTGGATATTTTATGGTTTAACCATACTTGCACTCATTGTTATGAGGTTTACAAGGAAGGAGCTCAAGAGACCAATCAGGGTAAGTTCAGCATTCAGTCACGCTTTTCCTCCATTCCCGTAAATACTGAAGCACAAAACAATCCTAACTATTGGGATACTTTAATAACATCCCCAGGCAGAATCCCCTTCTTCCCCATCCCCCCCCCCCCTTACCTGAAAACATTCATTTGTAGCTCTTCTCTTTGTTCCAGTTTTGCACTAAGACAAAGCTCAAAAGGACTGGGAAAAAGGTTACCCTATGTTCATTTTTACTTGCACAGGCTATGGGCACAAGCCAGATTTTCAGAGATGGGAAACTGCAGTCAGTAGACTACAACTAATCGAGTACCTGAAGTAAGACCCCAGGTCACTGCACTGGAGTCAGATCCCTGATTCTTTAAAATGCAAATTTGCAACACAGATCAAGAGGTCTTGGTCAACGATTGAGCAGTTTTCCCTATCCATGTTCTTGCTACTCTTTTTATTGCACCATCTAATTCCCAAAATTTTAAAAGGAAAAAGTGCAGAAGGCAATGAAAGTATTATTCTTTCATATATGCAACTTTTGTAAGAACACCAAAAGAATAAACAAGAAATTTTGTGCTTTATATCTTGCAGATACCCATCATCATTCCAGTCATAGTGACATTAGTCTCCATTTTACTGGTACTGGCACCAATCATCAGTGCACCTGAACTGGCCTACTTGTACTGTGTTTTATTTATACTTAGTGGAATTATAGTTTATGTACTTTTTGTTCACTTTAAATTCAACTGGCCCCAAAAAATATCAGGTAAGTATACCTCAGCCAGCCAGCTCCAAATTCAACAGAATGTTGCTAAGCTTTAGAATAATTACCATAATGAAGCTCATTATATTGTCCATCTCATCTAAACTGCATGAGCAGGGTGTGGAGGGAGGCAATTTTCCAGACATACAATGAGGGGCATATAGTGAGTTTTGCTGAAGATGGCATTTTACTCCTCCCTCTGAAAAAAAAGTGATGTCTGACTTCAGAAAAAGTGAAACTTAATTCACAAAAAAAACCCCCACCAATAAATCACTAGCAGCACAAAGAAACTGACTGTTAAAATTAACTGAACTATTTTATCTTTAAAGTTATCTTTCAACTGTATTTCAAACATTGCTTTAGCCATTAACCAAGAATTAACAGACACATTCTTATGCCACAGAATACTGGGCTTTCGGCTCAGGTTACTGATTTTACTATACTTACTGAAGAAAATGTTAACAGCATTAAGACCAAAAATAACCAAAGTGCTACTAAATAAAGTAAAAGCTGCAAGAACCCCAGTGTGACCAGTTAGAAATTATTTTGCATAGTCCCAAGAGAAATTCTTTGCAATTAACTCAAGGAAAACAGGATACACAGTATTTCTAAAAGGGTAAATCGAACCAGCTGAAAATAATCAGCTGACAAATCAGTAGTGCTACAGATACTTAAAAAATCCATAATCTGTCTCTCCTGCCCCCAGGATTAATAAATATTCTGTACTTACGCACTTGGAAGCACTGTAGTCTACCAATAGCAAGTTCAGAAGCCCTGGAATGTTGTAGCTTGGATCTTAAGATTGTTTTTATTCCCCACACCTTATTTTTTAAATTTGAGATATAAATACAGAAAATAGACAAATACTCACAAGGATCATTTTCTCAGTTAGAAAAATAGAGCAAGTCTGAACAGAAATACCGTTCCCTCACAAAGCCTCTAACGAGAGCTTTTTTCCCTCAGAGCCCATCACCATGCACCTTCAGATGCTTTTGGAAGTTGTTCCAGCAGAGGAAGTTACTGAATAAAATATTTTGTACGTACCAGGTTGTTTTTAAGTGCTATACTGGTTGAAGGAGATTCAATTTAGTTTGGCACACAGTTAAGACTTTCTAAATTGTTATGTTCATACTGGTGTATTATTTTTGCAACATTTTAGTACTTGAAAAATGTTAAAATATATAAGAATAAAAGATTCCTGAGCCAGATTAGAGCGTCCAACAATTATGGCTTTCAAGATACCTGTACTCGGGTGGTTATAATAAAACTCAGTTGTAGTCAGGTTCCCAACAGCCCAGTTTTTTTCAACCATATATTAACAATCACAACTGCTTCTCTCACATGGTGATTTTCCACTGACATCAGCACTAGTCATGTATATTTAGAAAGAAGCTAATGTTACAAGCTAATACTAGAAAACCTGTAACTATCAGTGTAAACACACTGACACAATCTTATATTCTTGAAGGCATCCCAATGTTTTTTGAAAGAATAATCCCAAACAAGCAAGTATATTGTTCCTAGTCAAGAATACAACAAAATTTTAGGCTTCTTAAAATAACTCTGTAAAGTTAAGTCTCTATTCCAATTTACCATATAGTTACGTTGGGGAAACTAATGTGCTGTAAAATCTACAGATGCAAAGAGATCAATACCATGTTCATTTATTATAAAATACCAAGTCAACAGATTTCCACTGGAGTTGAGGCATCAATTTGTGATGCAAAACTGGCAAATGTGATTGCCAATGAACTGATACTGGATGAATATGAGGGACATGGTAGAAGCAACTGACACCATCAGGATTTGTGAAACTTCAAAAATTACCAACTATTGGTAACACAGCAAATTCACTCAGATGAAGTAAGCTACAAGCTCTGTAATTACTAACAAAGTCAACTGCTTCACAAACCAAGTTTAAATCTTTACATCTTTATTGTTTGGACAGCACATGTACATACATGCACTATATCATTAAAGCCAACTATTGGGAAGTGAAGGCACTGGAAAACATACATTATGTTCTTCTACGGAGTAGTTACTCTGATTCTTGGAGCCACAAGGCAAGGAGTTCGTTCACTATTTTCCTCCTAAAATTAAGGACAGTTTTGCAACCTGTATGTTTAGTTTTATCAATTTTAGGGGAAATACTCATGGCAAGAGACACTATTTTGAAGCATAATTTTTATCAGAGGAAAAAAGTCTGTCTCTATATTACTCATCACTTTCTGTTTCACTATCTTCCGAAGAGTCAACCAATTCTTCAGTTACTGCAGCAGTGCAATACAGTTTTTTAGTACCTAGAAATAATTAGCAAAGTGTAATATTTATAAAGAAAGAAAAAACAAGAGCTTCAGAACAAATATGCAGTAGTATTAAAAAAAAAAAAAAACCACCGTAACAACACAAAACACACTTTAGACTACAAACTAGACCAAAACACTAAAACCTACTTCAAACTGCTTTTTGTCTGTGCTATTCTGATAAAAAATACCCTGCTGCCTATAGTTTATTAGAGGTCCTTTCATCTGTTTTCAAAGAATTTGAGCAAGTCAGCTAAGTGTGACATATCTGAAACAAATTAGTATTTCAGATAAACCCCATGCAAAAAGTGAGGATGCTAACAATTTTATGCATCATAAAACACTAACTTGTTCATTCCTTACCAACTGGAAAAGGGCTTTTATCTTCAAAATCTTCCCAGTGTTCAAAATCAAAAGACACATGAAGATTCTGTTGACAAAAATATAATTTGAAATATCTGCACTGACACACAGTGAATCTTCATAATATTCAATAATTTTTCAAATTAATTTTCACTTCACCTTGTTCTTCAGTAATTTGGACCATGCTCCTTTTTTCTCTTTTTTGAGAACAATAATAGCTGCTTGATCCTTAATCACACATGTAGACTTTTCTGCAAGTATATACTGATGCAGGTCCATATCAGCCAAATAAAGTTTGTCTCCTGAACAAGCACTACATTATAAAGAAGTTTTAAAAAATTAAATGCAAGCTGATAATCAAACATTTTGCTTATTATATTAAAATTTCTTAAACCTACCTGAAAACCACCTTCTCTTTAGAGAACTCACATTTATAGTCAGCTACACTTGCTATTTTCATCTTCACTGTAACAGTCTCTTCATTTTGAAACCACTTCGTTTCTGGATAAAAGCTGAAATAAAGTTTAATTGGATTTTTTCCTCAATAGAAAACAACTGAGTTTTAGACAAGCTGTTTCACATACAGCCAGAATTTTCCCATGAGGGTAAGAACAACCAGCTGAGTTTCAGCATCTGTAGGTGTACTCAACCATAATTTGACACTGAAGAGCAGTTTCAGGAAAGCACATAATAGGATGTCAGTCAAGCCTGCTCCTAAAGCTCTGTGATCTCTGTTTTGGAGGAGCACTTCCACTAGTTCAAGTGGGGAGACACACTCCCTTAACTGATATCCAAAGGAATCAATCTTGCTGCCTCATTTAAGGATGCTATCGTAGCCTAATCTTGAAATGACAAAGGAAAAAGTAACAGTAGCAAGACCAACCTCTGAAAGACAAAGTAAAATTTTCAACTGAACACAAATGCACATTCCTCATCAAGGTTTTCAATTGCTTATTCCACAGCTGTTTTGCTTCAAAATTGCCCCAAATGCTGAAAGGTTTTAACCAGTGAAAGATAAATCCTATTAGCAGACTGCAATATCTGTTCATTCAGGTTACTTCTCTTATCATACCCTCAGTAACATCCAAACTCTCATTAATTGAACTGCTAAGCCATACCTCAGCATGTATCACATAATGGAGAAGATCTTAAACTGCACTACCCAAGCTGCAGAAGGACAAACATGTGGATTCAATCACCCTACCAAGAACTTTTCTCCAATATGCTAAAATATGAAGTAATGCCAGTACTTGCACAAGAAAATGCTAGTCACCGATAACTAGCATTAACAGGTAGAAGAAAAAGAGTAAGCTACCAAAGGAAGGCATTGCTTAGGCCCAAAAAGCATTAAAAATTTTAGAATTTCTCAGGTTTCACTATCTGCTGACCTTCCCCACAAACCACACCTAAGATGTCCCTCAGCATATTCATAATCAAAACCAAGCCTAGCATTCATTTCTACTGCATGCTTCTCAAATTATTTCTCACCAGAAATTGCTCTATCCACAAAGGAATAATAATAATGGATTCACTTTCAAACAAACAAACAAAAAAGCAGCGTGCCATAGTTTTGTGTTAGGGACATCTCAAAATCAGATTTTTTTTTTCTCTCTTTAATAGTAGAATCACATTAAGGGGAGAGACACAAAACTGATTAATCTCATTAAATACCAATACACAGAGACAGAAGAGTAGGAGTCTTTGGTTAAAACATAATCCAGACAAGTGCAAATCAAAGCTTCTATCCATGGACTGAGCTGAAAAAGTGTTTGCTTTCATACATTTCCTAGCACTACAGCATCTAAAGCAAAAAATGATGTAATTTCAACAAAGAAGTTAGTTTTCAGGAGTCAGCAAAAGAGCAATTACTTAAGGGATTCACAAGATGATGGTGTATGTACATATATACGTGTGTGTTACACACACACACACACACACACACACACACATATATATAAAACAGTAATATCTCAAGCTCACCACTGATGTAACAGAACACTTCTACCTGTATTATACCTATATACTCACAAACCAGATAATCTTAGTAAGGATTATCATCCTGTTTAGAAGTTCAGATTAAAAAAAAATCAAGCATGGAAAGCAATCAATCTGAATTTCTACCATTTACGCTGATGCAGGGTAGTGTCTTCTACTTCCTTAGTTTGAGCTACATCATCTAAAAATAAGAAAACCAGAAAGGTATTTTATATTTATCTATACTACAGAAACCAGATAGTTCCATAATACCCAAGTACCATGATAAAAATAACTTGCTAGCAATCAAATTACTACTGCAATAATATATTAGACATTTATATTAGGTACTCCCTATTTGGAAATATTTTTAAAAGTTAGTAATTAAACAGAAAACCAACTAAAGAGTATTATAGTTGGTAGAAGAAAATTTAAAAAAAAACTACCAAAAATGCAGTTTTCCAGGTCAGGTAAAGGCTTTTCCAGTTTCAAGACAATTTATTTGAAAAGTGAAACATGGCACTTTAGAAATAGACCAAGAGTTGCAGGGATGAATCAACTCATATTGATGTTATCATCACAGCTCGAAACACAGTTACAGTGACTTCACTACACCAGTAAAAAAGCCTTCCATGACAAGCATTCCAGGATCTGCTTTGACTTTTGTCTGCTGCAACTTTTTAATCCCTCAGCTTTCATCGCTCCAAACTCACAAGTCAACTGCTGCCAAATCATCCTCTGTCCCCCTTCTGCGACTGACAAAGCCATGTGCTGACAAAGCCTCTACTGACTGAATACCACATGCTTGAGCATTCGATTAAAGAGAAAAAAGCAGCCTCTTTGTAGCACCCAGCATCTTGGAGAAAAAAAACCCAACAAACCTCCCAGAGAATGATGCCATTATCACACTTATTTCAATACATTTCCATTTGATTAAATTTAATGGCCTTTGACCCTCTACAGGAGAGTTTTCCTGCTCACACATTCCATTTAGAGCCAAAGAACTCTGAGTCTCAAGGACAGAATTTCCCAAGTCATAAAAGAGCTGTATTAACACAGCTTACTTTCACAGTATTTCCAGGCTGCTAACTATGAGGTGTTTGTAGCTTACTGTGAACATCAGATATATGGTGCTATTCTGTATACTCAGAGAAGTCTGGATTTGCTACAACAACTTTTTAGGTTGACATTTAGACACTTAACTTTAGTTAAAAGTTTTAAATTTTTTTGAAATTCTGAAAAGATTTACCACCTCGATGGTTCCCAGAAGTAACTTGAGAGGAATTACAGTTTTCAGTAGAATTTTCTTGTACTGACACATTCTGTGGATTGGACACATGCTCTGGACCAGGTGTATCCTCCTTTATGCTTCTGCACACAGAAAAAGGCATTTTTAAAAGAAAGGGTTTAAATATATATATATTTAAAGGATTCCTAATAATAGCTGGAAATCCTTTTGAAGTCTTTCATTCTAATGTATAAAAGTATATATTAAAAAAATACAGTAAAGTGCACTTCCAGCAAACCGTAAGTCTCACCACAAGGTTGCTGGACTTCAGTAACTCAGTAAGAAGCATTTATACAGAAATACAAGTTAGGAGAACACTACTGATGGTTCCAGCATTTCCTTTGAATCATGAAGATCTACTGGCCTTGCTGTCTGTGACAGCCTGACTGGTACTATGTACTGACTGGTAAGCATTCAAAAAAGCCACTGATCATAAGAGAACAGAATTTCAATTCAGACTCCATATGTTTACAGTAAACCTGACTATCTGCATCAAATACTAGTTTAACATTTTCTAGAACTGTTGTTGCTCTTTCCATGATGGTTATGTGGCTAAAGACAAGTTCAAGGAAAGCAGACATAACTTCAAACACGATTGCCTCTGTGATTAAATGAAAACCACATTCAGTAATGTTAATCACAAAAATATGCAGTTCAAATTAGATATTTTTTTCTTAGTAAAGTATACACTGAAAAAACATTATAAATACTTACAAAGGCTCCAAGTTCTTCGCATGATCTAATACTTTCATGTGTTCACACAACTTCTGAATTTGTGTTAGATGTTCTGGATTGTCAGTTCCCAGACCTGTAGACAGAATCTCAGATCGAATGTTGTAGTCATTGATCGATATCTTCAAATCTGAAAGTCTGGTAACCCGGACCTTGAATTACAAAATACAGTAAATGGAAACCATAATTCATAAATGGTCTCTCTCCAACTCTAAGCTGTTCTTTAAGTAAATCTTGAAACATATCCCGATTTATTCATATCTGTAAGCAATCTGTTTTATTTCATTCTCAAACAGGAACCTAGCCCTGTTTGTTTTCAAAGTATCACCATCCTTTTCATTGTGATAACAGCTCAAGTAACTTGTAGCTAGTCTCATCTAACAGAACCAAGATGGCAAACAAATAAACAATCCTTCTGTTTACACAAACTACACCCAAAATACACACCACATAGTTAGAACAACTTCTAGATCAAAACAGCACAAAACCACTGGGTAAAGGGGGCATGGTAAGAAAAACCCTAAACAAAACCAAAAAAGTTTTGGAAAAGGAAGCTGCTAAAGAGAATTACTTCCAGATAATTTTCTCTTTCCGCTTTATTTTTCAGCTGACCAAATGGTCACATGGAAAACACATTCCAAATCACAGGAATAACTTACTGTACTCTTTGGCAGGACTAAACAGCCACAAGAGGCACATCATGATCCTAAGATCTATAGGGAGGCCTTTCTAATGAACTTGCCAGACCATTAAAAAATAATTTAAAAATCCCTCAACTTGTAAGCTACTTCTGATAACAATTTGATCACTCCTTGTCCATAAAATGAAGTTACTTCTTAACAGACATCACTAAAATGCAACTAGCTTGTTCATGCCATTAGTGAAGGCTTAAGAGGCACCTGATTTTTTTCGTCCTTTGATGTAACTATCAGCACAGATTCCCACCTTTCAACAACTTAATATCTGAAAGGTCAGAATCACAGCTTTTATATCCAGCTGATGGTTACAGGTACTCTTTTGATTGGTGACAGAAAGAAGTTCAGTTTATGAAATAATACTCACAACAGTATGCATTAACATTCTGCAAGACCAAGAAGTCTTCTAGATGTTAGTTTAAGTAAAACTAAAAAAAAAATTCAAGAGCACCCGTTCTTCCTATTCTGATCAAGAAAACTAAGGAAAAAAGCTTGTAAGAGCTTTTTGATTTGAAGAAAAAATAGAATAAAACTAACTCTAAACTAGTGCAATAATAATAAAAGACAAAGACTTAGAAATATAAATATAAATTATGTATAGTACAAGAAATTTCAGGTATCAGCGAACATATTCACCTCTCCAAATTTAAAGTTCAAGTTCTACTCAGTCATGTATTCCATCTATATACAAGCATCCATATTTATCAGAATGGCTGAGGCTGGAAGGGACCTCTGGAGGTCATTTCATCCAACTCCCTTGCTCAAGCAGGGTCACCTAGAGTCAGCTGCCCAGGACCATGTCCTGATGGCTTCCGAGTATCTTCAAGGATGGACACTCTACAACCTCTGAGCAATCTGTTCCAGTGCTAAGATACCAGAGTAAGTCAATCAACAGTACCACCTGAATACCACCTAAGACAAAATTACAAGAAGAATGGACAAAAGGAAAGAGAATGGGTGCTCTCATTACAAAGAAGTTTACCTACAAATATTTTGTAATGCCACAATTCTATACCTACCATTGGGTCAACCCAAGCTGTATTTCCCAAGGTATGTACTATTTTTGCTTCATGTAGTTTTCCTTTAATTTTTTGATTAATATAATCAGTTACCTAAGAAAAACGAAATTTTCACTGCATTTGAGATGTACACCAACATAACTTCAAAGTTCTTTTAATTATAATAAAACAGTGTTTAAGCTCAACAATGAAAAGGGCATTTAATCAATAAAAGCAGTTTTGAGCAAACTAGTGAAATACTCCAACTTTATGCTAAATCAGTATTAGCCTTTAAGGAAGGAGCTTCCTTAACTGAAGAACAGTCAAACACAGGTCAATGTGCAGAAGCTACCTTTTCCGTTACTCTCAACAGATTTAAAAGCAACAATAACTTTTTCTGACAGAAGCCATTTAAATCACGGAAAAGAAAATCATGTAAGTTTTACTTTATTATTTTGTAGAAAAACAAACAAGAAAACTGACCTAGAATTTGGCCCAATAGCAGATATTTATTGGTAATACTAATAACCAATGAAATTTGATAACTAAGTTTGCAGTTCATAACTGTTTTCTTGTGAAAAAAACAATAGAGAAATTAAAGAATTTAAAGGAAATACCATAAAAAAACCTGACACATATTACCTTTGGGTTCCATTCCATTTCATTATCAATGGGTTTCACTCTACAAACTACAAATTCCACAGCTTGAGGTGGCAGAGACTGAAACTCTGCAGGTAAGTGAAGCAGCTGATAGCTCTGAACTTGACTTGTTCTGCCTTCATCTATAAATTTAATTTTGACGTTAAAGAACACATTTTTCTTCTCTTCTGGGGAAATCTCTATCACCTGAACCCTTCATATTGTAGGAAAGGAAATACAGAATTATTATGCACATCATCAGTTGTAAAGAGGTTTTTCATCTACTGTTTAAAAAAACCGTATTTTCATAAGAAAATATCTAATTGTGTGTGTACGTGTGGGCAGTCATTCTGTTTTCCATTCGATAACTGAAGGGGTATGTGATAGCTTTTTAAATTATTTGAATAGCAATGACTTTTTCTGCTGGTTGTGGGGGTGGGCAGACTTTTTTTTTTCCCTAAACAATGAAAGTTTTAAATTACTTTGTACAAAAAAAAAAAAGAACACACGATTAAAAAAATACATTTTTTACCTGTGAAAAAGTGTTTTCTCACATAATCCATAAAATGCTAGCTTCTCCACATTTTTTACAGAAATTTTATTACTAGGATTCTGAAAATACTCATTAATTTCTTCAGCAAGAATTGTATATTGGTCCTTTTGTTTATCTACAATTCGGCCAAAGTAGTTTGTTGCATTTACAATGAGGAGAGGCAGTATCTGAAAGCAAAAAATACATTAGAGTAAAGGAAGACTGCATGATTTAAGTTCAGGACATGCAAGTTTTCATATTCAAGATCATCTACTTCTTTCCAGCCCAAAGAGTTAACAGAGATGCTGCTGCATACAAGTAATACAGAAGATTGAGTTATTATTGTATTACTCATACAATTATAAATAATAATCACTGCTCACAGTCCAGTCAATAGCGGACAGAAGTTTACAGAGTAAGAACTGTTAGGTCTCAGTGGTATTTTACATAAATGAAACCAGTGATCAATACTATTACCTGCCAAGTTACTAACCAGTAAAGTTTTCCACACCATTCAAGCTTAACTCTAAGTGTTTTCCAAACTTACAGTGAATTTTGTGACTAGGGAAGTATGAGGCCTTCACTCTTTCTGAACTGAAATTACATATATGAAAAAAAACTATGAATATACTACTATCAACACCAATGTATAAAGTGCTGGGTGCATTCTGTCCAAAGGGTCATGCCAGGCAGAAGTACTAACATACAGCTGGGTATATGAGGCCAGATATGATAGTAAGAGGACCAGAAAAGTAATGTCCACTTAACAAACAATCCTAAAAAAGCACACTGTGACCTGAGATTCTTAAAGAAAGGGAATATTATACTAAGCTCCAAAAAAAAAAAAAAAAAAAGTGAATACTTAAAGTGATAACTGATTTGTAAGACAGACATCCAAGTCCTGCAGTCAGCAAAAGCAGAAGTAAATAAGGCAATGGAAGAGGCCACAACTGCTGACTTGAGTGCACCACAGGTAAGGGCAACTTTTTATTAGGAGTGTCATGAAATCCGTCCCTGTTTCAGGCACTAAAACCAGGCACATGTAGGCTGTCAAGGGGTTTGACCTCACATCCACCAACAAAAGCTCATTCAGCAAGAAATAGAGTGACACCAAAGAATCTACCCAGTTCTCCTTATTTTCTCTTCTCACAACCCATGACATTTGAGAACAGATAAAACCCATTAACTGCATGCTCTAAAGCATCTGCATCTGAATCCTACAAAAGACATGACCGAAGCAGAGTGGAAGCAGCTCAAGCAAATGGAAGACAACCAGCATTTCTTAAATCCAAGTGCTAACTTTGGAAGGAAGCACCAATACCTACACACTTGCCCTCAGCACTCATCAACCAACAAGGAAATGAGACTGTACAGTGGTGCTGTATGGGAAGACACTCCAGTATAGAAGGACTGAAAAGCCAGGTGAAGGGAGCTGGTGATATAAATTGTTACTGGGATATGAAGAACCACCACGTCAAAATCAACCAGTAACCATTAAGGTTTCATGACTGTGAAGCTATTTAATAAAAGAAAATAGTAGTCCAATTAGAACAGCATTCTCAAAACACTTTTCAAAAAGCACTGACATCTCAGTAGGAAATAACTGTTCCATCTAGAAAATAAGGGAGGAGCTGTATCTCATTTTCTATGGATATTGCAAATGAAAATCCTAGGTTCAAATGATAAGGCCAGAATACGCTCATTTTTGAGCAATTTTACATGAACACACCAGCTAAGAAAAATCCTCATTGCTAACAAAACATGCATTACCTTCCCCTTCAACTTCTCTTCACTCCAAAAGATTAATTTGTCTTTCTGCTACAATAAATATAATTGAAGTTCATAGTAACTTTAACCTTTATTCATTTTGGTATACAGTCTCAATTTATAGAGGAAAGGAATAAATAGAACATAAAGCCTCCTCCCATAGAACATGAACCTTCAATACAGAAAAGAAGAGAGACGTAAACTCAGAATCACCTGCAAAACAATTTCAATTCAAGCCAAGGATTAAAGGAAAAATCTGGCACACTTACTTATGCAAGAAGAAACAAAAGCTAAAAAATAACAAATATTCAAGAGATACAGTACACATACCACAGTAATATTAATATAATATGAAAATAAGAAGAAATACAGCTAAGCAGCTACTTAAGACTCATCTTCTTAGTGCTCAAAACCAAGGAAAATGATAACTTACTGTCACACATCCAGACGTTTGTATAACGTTATCTGGTATATTCTGGGGCATGTCTATTTCTAAATTAACTCGATGACGATCTGGGCACACTGTTCTATTCCTACATATTAAAAAAAGGTTATAGAAAAAAGCCATTTATTTTCAGTTTTAAGCTATTTTGATGTGACTTACAACAGCTTTAAAGACTAAAATTTCTTCAGCCCTCAATATTCAATTTCTGTCTCAAACGGCACCCGTGACTCTAGAGGTTAGACAAAAAGGACCAAGATGCTCTTGGCAAAAATGTTTGTACAACAAAACAAAACACACCAGAATTTTGTTAACTCAAACTACTGACATGGAATTTTCTGTTACTAGAAACAACAGTTATCTACAATAACAGTCATAACTGAGAGCACTCTAGCTTCCTCTTTCAGGCACTAGTTACAATCCAGTTACATGGATCATGGGCAAAAACTGGTTTCAATGAAAGTATCCAATAGGAAAATTCATCAAGGAAGCAGAAGCAATCACTATTCAGGGCACACAGTGCCTTCTTGCGTCAGCAGAGGTGTCAAGAAAACTTTGTATTTCCTTACTTGCAAATTCCAAATGTTTTAAGACAGGCACACAGCGGCCTTGAAAATTTGTTATCTTCTCCAGCTTCTAACATCTTTGCAGTAAAATCATGCAGTTCTGGTGGAATTTCAGCTTCTGCGTGCTGCAAATAGCGCAGGATCCCTAGTTCATGACATGCATTGTCTTCTGTTAGCAGAATGACTGATCTTGCCTTTGTATATTCTTGATTTACAGAAGAATCCTTAAAAGAAAATTAAAAGCTTTTATGTATCCACTTTTTAATGTACCCACCACTTAATAAACAAAGGTAGTATAAATCCATTAAAGATTCACTCAAACCTTGATCACACGACAGAAGTTGTCAGACATGCTGTGTAGACGCTGACCAAAGATTCTTCTAGAAGGAAAACTGAAATGTACCACGCAAGTTGCATCTGTAATTCCCAAAGACTGCATGCAGTCATCTGTTAAAACTAAGCACATGTTTTATACATACATAAGATAACTAACACTTCAAGCATATGAAGTATTACATCGTATTAGCAATGGCTGTTTCTTTCTCTCCATCCACCAACTTAAGAACAGAGAAAAAAGGTATTTTCCCAATGTAGTTAGCCATTGTATTTCTCTTCAGTCAATACACTTCATAAGAATACGGCAGACACAGCATTTCATGTTAGTCTCTAACAATCTAATATAATTCTGTATCTCATATCAGTATCACAGAATAAACAGAATTATCCACAGACAAATATTTCACAAAAGGTAGAGAGCACTTGAGTAATGCAAAAATGCTAACACCTTTGTATGAACCAACAAAGCAGATGTAATTAGTCAATGTTCTTGTTTCTGATGTATAAAATGGAAAATAAGTTTGAAACTGGGTAAGAGTCTTTGCTACTGAAAACAACTTGAAAAATAAAATGCTACCAGAACATATGCGAAGTCACAGTAGTAAGTCTTTGGGGTTTCTAAATTATTTCAAATGGAAAATATCCTCTGTAGCAGGAGGCGGTTGTGAAATCATCAAAATTCTTTCAAAGTAACAGCAGTTTTTCAACCAAAACCCCCTATGTTCCCTCTAATAAGTAAGGATTTCCCTTGTAGCAGTTAACCCTGGAACCCAGGAACAACAACAACAATGAAAACAAGACTAGGTGTAGCACTAAGGGATAACTAGAAAGAACTCATAGGGAACTGACCCTGTGGAAGTGATGATATAACCTAGTGTAAGCATTTAGTGTAGAACGTGAGTCACCATGAAGACGCAATCACAAGATTGATCAGAAGATACTTACCTAAAACAATGTGAGTGCCAGAACTATACTTTCTTGTCCACTGCTCTAAGATATACTTGAAATTAAACTCGCTCTCTTGATGTATTTTCAAGGAAAATACAGAGTTGCTCTTAAGTGCCTGGATGACAAAATAAGAAGTTATACGTTCTTCCAATATAGCAGTAACTGCTCTAATAAACAGTATGTCTTATTAGTATACCTTGGCTACTGGTATATAAAAAAAGGAAAATTGAGATTACAGAGACTAAGCTTATTCATTTCCTGTATGAAAAGAAAACTAATAAAGCTCAGGTTCCTATGGATTACTACATTAAAGAGATGTTTAAAGAAAGTACAAATTCCATTTGAAGTTCTTCCCACTATTAAGCTGTCCTCTTTATTCTAAATTGATTCTATCATCTAACAATGTGCAGGCTCACGTTTCACTCTCAGAAAAATCACTAAAAACCCACCACTGATCTACCCACTCTGCACTTGCATGAACATAGCATTCTCAGAAGGCTCTATGTATTTGCCAAGCCCAAGGTTCACAAATTAATCACTACAAAAGCCTTGGTTATTTGGTAACCAAGTTAACATTTAGAACATTTTTGCAGACCATTTAAGAAATCTGAAATCCGTGTACACAAGGATTACTACAAAGAGATTCAATACTTCAGCATCTAGAAACACTTTAAGTGGTGGTGGGATTGGTTTTGATATGCTTAAGAAATTCTCTCGCAAATATTCAATGAAAACGTGTTAGAAAGTCATGAGACAAAACCAGATTTTCTTCCATTAACAGTTGTTAGTTTATCTGTAATATTAAATCTTTGACATTTACATAAGAAGAATCCTTTAAATATGACAGGATCCATTCCAGCTTCTGGAAAGTAATCCATTCTCATGTTTCAGGACTGACATATCTCTTCCTATAACATCTGAACAGTCCAGTCACACATCCTTTTTGCTATATCTCATCCTTAAAGCTATTGGTAAAGGTTTTAATTATAATATTGCTAAAGGAGGCAAGCTATGATGATATCACCCCTGTTATCCGCATCACCCCATCCAGGCTTAACAAAACTGCTTCCCAGTCAAATCAGATTCCACTCCTCTTACTTCGCACTGGTGGAAGACCAGCGAAGAGACAATGAAAGAAGAGATTTTTCTATTGTTATGTTGTTATATATATTCATTGCTATAATATCTGAAGAAAGAACTATTCCAGGAAAATTCTTTCTTAGACTTCACCTCGGAAATGCTGAGTACACAATCCCACAAAGAAGCTGTAAAACTGGAGCATGTTCTACTGCAGATAACTTTGAAGCAGTTTTACGCTGGTTTTTAAGAAAACAGGTATTAAGCATACTATCTTCCCCCCCCTGCCCTCTGATTTGAAGCTTAACTATATTCTGGTAGACTTTCACAGCATGACAGAAAATGTTTCTTTCAAATCAAAGTAACAGCCTTCTATAATTTCAACTTCTCCACGGTAGAAAGCAACAGAACAGAACTTCTTAACGTGGTGGCTTAGGTTTTGTCCCCTGATACCACTACTGGAAACAGTAGAAAGTAAAATTTAAAAAACTGACAGAACTTTTACTGGGAAAAAAGCCAGAAAGATTCAACTCTAAGCTGACAGACAGAACATAGCTAAGAATTTACTAATGAACGTATTCTATGCCAGACATTCCTGTCAGTCAGGCTTTCTTCTATTTGGCAGAAGGGCGGGGCTGGGGCTATTCTGAGCAGAAATCATTAACTGCCAAATAAACACATTTCCTCTGCTTTCAGAAGCCAAGATATTTTAGTTTGTCATACTGTAACAATTTTAAAAAGCACTTATTTATGTAAATTAAAATACTTTCTACCTTATGAACCACTTCTGCTTCATTTACTGAATTAGTGAATACCAGCACCTTCTCAAGATCATTGTGGGTAAAATCCAGCATTTCAAGTAACACAGAAGTTCTCTCACTGTTTGTGCAGGTTCGCACAACCTACAAGTAGATGCAAAGCAGAAGGCAAGTAATTCATGTAATCTATACATACTTCACTAGATAATTCTTCCTTTTAATATGCACTAAGCATTGTTATCTAACACCACAGAGAATGCAGTAAGTAATAGGTCCACCTACTCCAGTAAGTAATAGATCTTCTGTTGAACTTAGAGAACACACAACTCTCAAAAAAGGCATGCATTTAGGACAGCTTCAAGAAGCATAATTAAAATTAAAAAAAATCCCACATTAAGATTTTTCATTCATTTAACTTTACGTGATTTACCAGTCTCGAAGTCTGGCGTTTTCAAGTATCACTAGAAAAAGTTCACACTCCAAAAGCATACTGTACCACCTGAAATACTCTTAAATAAAGCATCAAAACGCTGACATTTTCAGTCATGCCAAACCATTAATAGACTTCTCACAAAACACGGTGTTTTTGCAGTTTCATGTCATGCTCAGAATGTCTAGTCTTAGAGGTTACCCAACATTCTCAATCCTCAAATATTCCACTATGACACACTGAAGAATTCAGATCATACTTACAACATTTTATATGATTCTTAAAGGCTACATTACATTGACTGGAAATTAAATGAGAAGACACCCAAGAACATGGAGTAACTCTCTGGAAATTTTAAGTCAAATTAAGTTCTCCAATATCTGGCACACAGCAGTAAAACCAAGTATTCCACTAGCTCTGTCTTGGGATAACTTATACTGTAGTTGTGCCACTTGCAATTAACAATTCTAAAAACATTCTGACAAAATTCTGGTCACAAACTGTACCATTTGCAAATATTTCACATAACATTCAGATTAATTTGTTCCAACAGTGAAATACATGAGGGAATATCTCCACCTCAGTCCTACAAAGCAAGGTAAAAGACCTTCAGCTCAGTGAGTGGTTAACTTGCACAGGTCTTTTAAGAGTCACCTCAGTTCATACATGGGACGTGCAACTGAACAGTCTGGGTTAGGACTGTAGGACTCCCCAATTAAAATAAAAAAGCAGCAGTCACATACACTGACCTTGATCAGTATGAACAGCAAAATATCTTAGGAAACAAATCATCCCAAAGTTTTTACCTGTTGCACATTTCCATAGATGGAGGCTTCTTCCACAGCTGTTATCACAATGTAAGGATCGTTCATGAACTCCTTTATCAAGTGTGCTATATGTTTATCCCAACAAGTTCCAACAGCAATAATCTGATGTGGTGAACACCCCCATTCTTCAGTAATAATGGACTTCTTGTAACAATCCAATATAGTAAAAACCTATAAAGAAAAAAATGTTTTCTATCTTCTTATCCTATTACAACAAATATATAACAGCAGTGAAAAGCACACTCTTTTCACACACAGTTTTTTTTCCAGTCACAATAACACCACAGCAAGACACAAACTTCATATCCCAAAATGACATGTTTGGTTTGTGCACTTTTATCCAATTTGCACAACTTCAGAAGCAAGAAGAAAATGACAGGACAGCACAAAGGAACAACACGTGCATGTACACGACTGTAATGCAGGATTCTGCACAGAGAAGACTGAAGTCTCAAGAAAAGGATCTGTGCAAATCTGAAAAACACTAAACCTAGGCAAAAGCAGATCCAAGAGGTCAGAGGCAGTCAGCAAAAACTAGGAGGTTAGTAAAGATAAGCCCAAACTGTCAACAATTTGCAAAAAAACAGAACAAAACACAAACAAACAAAAAACACCACAAAAAAGACCACCACACCAAACCAAAACAGAGTGCCATAAAATAATTTGTAAAAAAAAATAAAAATCACTGAGACAGAATGAATATTCCCAATGACACACCTTACGTAACTGACAAGCAGTCCGTTGTGGAACGGCATCAGGATTTCTGGCAAAGCACTACCATACTAAGCAGTATTCTAGGGCTCTGGAACAACTCTAAAGATCTAGCTCAACCTGGCACAAAGCTTATCCATAGCAGCAACACTTTTAACAATGTAACATTCCTGTAACATAATGCTTTAGAAGAGCTGCAGTAATTCAAACATGATAAAACGATCACTTTCCTCTGCAAGAGCATTTCTCCTGTTTTCCATAGTGATGCCTTTGAGAAGCTGAGAAGAAACGGCAGATACAAGCACAGTATCTGACAAGCTACTTTTCACATAATCTTCATGTGGTATATCTGCACTGTCTTAAGAGGTATAGTAACACAACAGAAAGAATAGCCTAAACAGAAAGAAGGAATGCCCTACTGGATATGAATGAAATTTCATTTAATCTATGACTTCAAGCAAATTGGGCAATCTATCTCCATTAAGAAGTTTCCTTAGCTTTTCAGTTAGAAACACTGCCCTTTAATCTTATTATCAATTTTTAATAAGATATTAATAAAATTAATTACATTTTAGAAAACTGAAAGTTAAAAATGTGTGTAAGCTGATTTTTTGCATACTGATAATGTAATATACTGTAGTACTAACAGAAAGCATCTGTCCTACAATGCCTCAAAGTAGCTATTAAAAAAATATGTAATGTTCTCATATTTGAGTTGTAAAACAAGATTTTAGAACAGATACAACTTGTCAACATGGAACTTGATGCTGTTCCTCTTTGAAGATTCTTTGAGTTGGGATCAGCTGCCTCTTTTGTCTGCGCTGACATTAAGGCCCAAGGAAAGTTTTTATGATTGCTTCCAAGACTGTCTGATCATTCACTTCTGCCTTTCATTCCACAGAGACTGAGGAGTTTACCAGTAAAGACAGTGCTTGAAGTGAAGCTGTTCAAACAGCAAGGAGGGAAAAGGAAGTTCCTTACAGACACGATGGAAGTCTTTGAAGTAATTAAAAAGACCCCCAAACTGAAACTACTGCTACCAATTTAAAAAAATAAAAGTGCTCAGGAAACCAGCCACAGCAGAGGAAGACAGTATAACGGAGCAGTAGCATAGAACAGGACAAGACAGAGCTCTGATGAAAAAAAGGCCAGGAAAGTAAAATTTAATAGATAACAACTCCACTTTTCCAGTGTTTCATTCTGCCAGAAGTACAGATGTGATTTTTAAAAATTCCATTTCCTTCTGAACTTTACCACAGAGGTTCAGGAAGGTTGGGTATTTTTCAGTATGTGCCACTGCTTAAGACATGCACAACTGGAACAGCATTTTACCATCTGGATGTATAAGCCATTTACCTGTTCAGTAGCATCAGAGAACAGTACCTCAATCTCATCAAGAACAAGATGGCAAAGTCTACAAAATAGTAATCTGTGATGTTCAAACAGTCTCAGGAGGCTATATGGTGTAGTCACAATTACTTCACCTGCAAGTAGGAAGACAAGACTTAACATTAACTTACAACTTAAAAGAATATTACGAAGACACCATAGGACAGTGCAGTTTTATTAAAAAGGCCATATTTGCATTTCAGATGCATCATCTTGAAGTTTAGGGAGGGTTTGATTGGGGTTTTTTTTTGTGTGTGTGTTTTTGTTTCTCCTCCCCCCCTGAAATACAGAACACTGAACTCCATTTTCTGACTTCTGGCCAACAGTAATTTTTAGTTTGCTTGTGTTTTTCTACCCCTGCTGTCTTCAAGACCTAAGTGAAACTCTTGAGTTTTTGAAAGAGCCAAAGGTCTGAATATTAACAAATTTACAAAGCAGGAAGCCGTTTCATTTTTCGAGTAAGGTAACAGAAGTAGAGACAAGAACTTCAGAAACAGATAGGCAGCAGTTAAGTATTTAAATACGTGCAAGAGCAGCCTTTAGAAAAAGTTCTGTTTTAAAAATGGAATAAAGCGCATAGTGTAGCTTTGATATCTATGCACACACACGTGTGTATATCTCTATAAATAAAAACACACCAATCAATCTGTGCAAATATACCAATGGCTTTGCTAACAAAAGACCTGAGTTCATCCATCAGACTCTTAAGCCTGAATGATGGATGTAAGAATACAAACAGCTGAAACTGAAAGTTTTATGCAATCCTTCATACTTTTATCCAGATTTCTTGTTTTGTTGGCAGAAAGAGCCATTTTTAAACAAGCAGTTCTAAATTAACAAAGACCAAATAAAAATAGTAAAACTAAGTGTTATGTAAGTAAATACATTAAGTAGGGAAAATCTCTCAACAGCTCTTTTACTACTTTTGTGCTTCCTCTTCTCTGTGGAGTATCCTCTGCATACTACTGAAGTTACATGCACAAATTACTTAAGCATATTGCAATAAGCAATTTGGAAACCATCATTAAAAAAAAAGAATACTTCAGATTAAAATACAAGTTGAACATTTATGCAACTTTTGTTTGCAGAGAACTATTACCTCCTTTTTAATCTTTCACTTCTCCAATAATATTTTTAAAAGCAAAACTGCATTTAGTGTATATAAGCAGTAAAGCAGCATCAGACATGTCCCTCAAATATCTGTCAATTTAAAAAATAAAAATAATGTACTTGAAATACTTACATTTGTTAAAACTACTTTTTAAGAACATACCCATACACATTACTGTGGTGGGCTGACTGCAGCCAGCAGCTAAAAGGCACACAGATGCTCAGTCATTCCCCTCCATCCTCAGTGGAGCAGAGGAGAGTAACAGCCAAAGTGAGAAAACTCACAGGTCAAGAAAAAGGCAGCGTAATAAGGGAAGGAAGGAGGTGGGGAAGCAAAGCAAAGACAATCACTGACAGAAGCAGACAGATGCCCTGCCACTCATCAGATCATTCCTACTCCTCAAGGTCTTATTGCTGAGCACAATATTGTTGTATATTCCTTCCATCAGCTTGGGTCAGCTGTCCAGGCTGTGTCCCCGCCCAGCTTCTTTCTCACTCCTGGCCAACTCACTGGGTGGCAGACTGGGAAAAAGAATTCTTGATACTGTGCAAGTGTTGCTCAGCAAAAGACAAAACACTTGTGTGTTATCCCCACTGTTCCAGTTACAAATCCAAAACTATGGAGAGAATTAAATCCCTCCCTGACAGACTCGATACTTCTGTCCAGCAATGGTTGCTCATGTATCAAAAAAACTATTATAAAATGTGGCTCTAAATAAATTTGGCCCAAAAATAATTGTTATGGCACTTATAAAAAAGGTGCTGAGCATGTAGCTATTAAAACAGCTTTAATACCATTCACTGTTAAAGAGCACTACCAAAGCTTCTGGTATTACTATACACTTAGAGCATTAAAGAAATAAAATTATCACTTTATAAAACAGGGAGTTTAAGTAGTATAAATTGCCTCTTTCACAGTTTCCTACACAGCCCACATTGTTTTCAAGCATAATTAAAAAGATGGAAAGTATTCTTACATCCTCGGATTTTCAAACTTCTAGCTGCTTCTTTGTTCTGCCCAAGTATTATCAACATTGGATGAAGCTGTCTGGAGCATCTCCCGTATGTTTTCAGTAGCTCAAAAACAAGTTGTGCCTTCTTCCACCCAGGACATAAAATAAGCACTAGTGGCTACAAAATTTTATACCACAGTATTAGACAAGAGTTCAGAATCTTAAGAATTCTACTACTTCAGCATTTAGGGCAAAACCAAAATCTGCAACACAGGACTTTAAGTACTTTAAAACAGAAGGTTTTAGGACTGTATCACCTCCTAAATGCAGATGTGACAGACCCAAGGAACAATACACCAGGTTATCTGAAGACAAAAAGGATGCATGCAGCAACATACAGTAGAAGGTCCAAAAATTTAACAGAAGCAAGAGCATCTTGTCTTAATCCGGGTTCTGCTAAGCAGTTTCCAGAGGTCCCTTAAAACTTCAACAATTCTATGTTTCTGTGATCTAATCAAGTTAAAAATTAATGGCAATATTGAGAACAGCTAATATAAATTTTAATTTAATGACTACATACCAACCCCTTAAAGGCAAAGCTTCATCATGACATTAACCACTTTTTAGATATTACCTGAGAAACAAGTTTTAGACTCCACATTCATGCAGTCCATCTCGGTAAGGCTCTAAGCAGAGGACTTATATAAACGAACAAGCATTATGAAGATACAGTAAGATCACACTAAATGTATACATTCTAAACATCCACTATCTTTTGAATCATTATTCTATTATCTGCACTTTAGAACAGAAAAACTGCTACTACTCCAACATATACATACTCCATTCCTCTTTGGCAAGGCTTTGTAGCAAATTTCCAACTGCAAAAATGTAAGAACTGGTAGAATATACAAGAAAGGATCATTTCCGTGATGGGAGATGACAACTACATCACATCCTCGAGCTAATGGTGGCCAACAGTAAGATTCTGTCAAGTTAGGGCCTGAAAATTTTTGTCGAGTAAGTTCCTACAGAAAGAGAAATTAACAGTTCCACATGAACACTGTGTACTTTAACACTACCAAAATAAGACAAAACACAACAGTGAGTGATTTAAAAGCTTTTGACGCACTATATATTAAATGTCCTTAACATACAACGTGAAAAAAAGTTGTTCTGGGCAGAGTTGAATTACTATATTAAAATTCAAAACCTACAACTTGTGACAGTGGTGATATACCAGAAGAATGTGTACAATTCTTACAGCCTCTCTCTGAAGCTTCATTTATTTAACAACCTCCTACACATTCCTCAATCAAAACTATGTATTACTACAATATTTAATATCTAAAGCTAGGGTATGACCCTAACCTTAATGAGAAATTCAATGTAATTACTACATTAGTGTTACCTTTTTCAGATCATCAAAAAGTGGTGCTGTTTCCAGAACTAACGATGGCTCAATTTTGTTGCTAAGAAAGACAAAGTTTCTTTCTTCACTAAGATTTTGAATACTCTGAAACCGTATGACAAATAAAAGACAAAGACAATACTTAATAAAAGGGTTTTAGCTTACCTATGACTGAAAAGCATTTATTGCATTTAAAAAATGGTATTTTGACAAAAAATATCCAAAGAAATTGTAAAATCATTCAATAGGACTCACATATACTGATAAATTACACAGACCAGTGGCAAAACAAATACTCAGTATTTCTTAAAGATTTATCATAAAGTTTGTCTTAGCACAACGGCCTTAAATCACTGAAGATCATCACTGATGTTCTGTTTATGGCTAGCATTCAGTAGTAACAAAACCAAAATACAACTAAATTTACTCCTCTTGGTCCTTCTTCCTCCCTCTTCCATGGCTGACATCTCGAGAGGGACTTGCTTACCATCCTACCCCTGAGGCCTACTCTCCCAAAATACTGGCTGAGTATAACTCTGTGCACATTATATTAATACTAATACTACTATTATTTCATTAAATATATTTGTATCAACCCACAATCTCCTTTCCTTTTCATGTCCCCACTCCCTGGGTGTGGAGGAGGCATCAGGTGACAGAACAACTGTACAAAGCACAAGCCCCAACACTACCGAAACCTTCCACATCGACACAATACATTTGCACAACAGAAGTTAAATAAAAGCTAATGCTTGAAATACCTGTTGGTCATCTTTGATTACAGGCCTATTCAGAGGATCAGAATTTAAGAACTGCGGAAGCCTGAGAAGCACACAAATATTAAAACCAAAATAAATACAGAAGCAGAATGAAATTTATAAATACCGCCAATATCTCTAAAGTGTCATGAAGCAATTCACTTGCAAAATACTTCTGATGTCTTGCCTATGCCGAGGAGAAAAACCCTCCAACATGAAGAAGAACATGAAGAAACCAAAAAGTACCACTTAGCATGTTTAGTGTGCAGAAAAAACACTTCACCATCACATCCTTTGATGTGATGATCCTTTGATGTCAAAGGCTCTAAAGCCTTTGACACAGTCTTAAAGCCTTTGACACAGTCTCCCACA